TTAGTCATTCACGTAAGTCATGTGTGGACCGCACCACATGCTGTATGTGAGCAGCTAACATTTCTGAGCCCCGTTTGTTTGGGTGAAGTCGGTCTGTCTTGAAAAGAGACATTCTTTGCCAGAAAATATTAAAGTTATCGACATAACACACACCGTGAGCCCTGCAGGCGGACTGGAGCCAGTCGTGGAGGCCAAGGAGTCTACTGAAGCGACCAGCACCGCAACCAACTGTGGGAATGGGACCAGAGATAAAAACGGACTTTCCACACTGCTTTAAAAAGTTAAAAAGACGGTTAAAATCTGATTTTGTCAGACTGCTGAAGAGCTGTGTCATTTGTTCCCACATGGACTATCACTCTTGTGATGGAGGACGGGAGCGATGGCATTAGGTCCTGGAGTTTTTTTAAAATGTCAGCCGTTGTGGCACCGGGGAAGCAGTGAGTGGTAGCGTTAAAGAAACGGATGTTTCTGGTTATGGAGTCACCAATTATTAGTGTGGTTGGGGAGAAAAGGGGACGAGGAGATGCCGGTTGTGGGGTTCCAGAGCAGGACTGAGCAGAATCTGCTTCAAAACTGCCTGCGGACTGAGGATGGAGCGTGTGAGCTGCCGAGTGTTGTGTTGGAGTAGCAGTAACAGACCTGAGAGAAGGGCTACCCGACGGTGCAGGGTAGAGACGGCCTCCGGAGCGTCTGAGCACAGCCTCCTTCAGGATCCTACGGCCGCCGATCAGGCCAAGTGGCAGACCGGCGGCCCAGCTAATCACCGTTTGCCGCCAGTGAAGGAGATGCAACAGTGTCGGCAGGCACTGTCCGCCGAAAGAGATCCGTTGCAGGGAGACTCGAAGCCGCAGGTGCCTCTGCTGGATGGACCGGAGTGTCGTCAGACAGGGCTGCATAGAGTTTGGAGAGGTGGATGTGCGGAGGAGAGGCAGCCCCGTCCAAGCTTCTCCTGCAGCCATGGACCACCACTTCAGCCCAGGTTGACTGACGCTTTGGAGTCGAGCAGGATGAAAGCCTGGGAAGGCTAGAGGGGTCCCATAGCACGGTGTCCTGGATGTTAGCGGTTGCGCTAAGAGAAACAATCTGTTTGGCTTGTACTGAAGCCACATCCATAAAGCCAGTCAGCAGGGAATCTTTCTCTTTGAGTTCCTCTGAAAGTCGTCGGATGTCTTCCATAAGGTCAGCAATCTTTTTGTTTGTTTTCTTAAGGAGTGTGCAGTTCTCATGGGGCAGAGTTATCTCGGCTAGCATAACGTTAGTCACCTTTGTTGTGATCAGTAACATTAGCGTTGATAGCGTTTTTACGGTCATCTAGCTTAAAATCCATGTCGGATGACTAAAATCCTTAACCCACGTAAAACTTAAGTTAAAAACTTCAGTTAAATAAAAAGGATATAAGAAATGTAAGTGTGGATTAAAACTGGATAACAGTTTTATTTTACGACGCCAATACATGCGCAGAGTACAGATTAAAGCAGCTGTAGATGGCTCTCCTGAGTATCAAGCTGTAGTTTATACTGCAATAGCTAATTTATTAACAATAGCTAACCTGGCTAGTTGTAAACAAATAGCTGGCCGGACGAGGTTTTCCAACCTTTTAACTGGAACGCCATCAACTCGGGTGTGACGTCTTCTCAGCTCTGACCTCCGACTTCCGAGGTCAATGGAGCGCAGCATCTGTCAGTGCCAAATCCGTACTGCCTGCCGGATCTGCTCTGCACATGCGCAAAAGTGGTTCTGTCAGTCAAAGAAGCCTATTCAAAATTATCTTTCAAATCAAGATAACAAATTGTTTTTTAATCACTGGAAATTAAACTGTCTGAACTAAATGATGTAAGAGGAATATACTTAAGATATGAAAAACCTTATTCAACAGTACATTTTTAATTTCTAATAATGACAATCAATCTAACGGTGTAGCAACACATAAAATGTATTCAGATCTAATGACCTGCTCCCGATGTTGATATAAAGGCCTCATTCTAAGAAAAAACGAAAACACATTACTTTTTTTCAGGTGATTGTACAGTAATGAAAACATACTTATATATTATATTCCATTTCTGACAATAATTCTGTCAATATCCCCAAAAGTCCTTAAATGTATCAACTTGTGGAAATAAGTTAGTTAAATGCTAAGTAAATTAGATTAAAATATTTGTTAATTTGACTGTCTGCAAATTATCAGACACTTTTGCTACTGTGTTAGCATGATGCTAACTATCAGTATTCTTTATTTTCTCAACTTGTAGATCTTCCATATTCCTACGCATAAGCACAACTCGGCCCCATGCTGTATAATGCCACCAGAGGTCAGCTGTTTTTGTCAAGCTTTTAGCATTTCATGGGAGACACAATGAGGAAAAAGTAGTACACAAAGAAAAGGCACTGAAAGTCTTCAAAATATAGCATACACTTGAACTGAGATGGATTATTTTCATTGGGCCTTCTTTTAGGCAGCTAAATTTTGCCGCTGACCCTGTCCACAGCAGTACATTGCTTATTGTCTGTGCTGATACAACTCTCTGCTTCTCTAAACTTAACTATGCCTTAAAATGAAAGGGATAGGCAATCAAAGAGAACTGGGAAATACAATCATTGTGTATAATATAACAGCAGCACACAGGCTTTTTCCTCCAATCCTGGAATGTGCCTTTGCAGTGGAAAGAAAAATAAACTACTGAAAAATGCATGAGGGTTGTGGCTTTGGAAGTGATCATTTAAATTTACAAAAGTATAACAACATGTAGACTGAATGAGTACACAGGCCGCAAAAATGTTTTTGTTCTTTTCTTCTGAATAAAACCACAAGCAATTGCTGGTAAGGGAAATTGGTCAAGAATCATTATATTGCTGTCAGATAGAATATTTTTTAAAGTTTTCAATCGAGGCAAATAAAAGATCATTAATTATGGATTCTTCCCATTAGTTACCAATAACAGAATTATGTTGGGGGCTGAAATACCAAGCATCAAGGCCAATGTTCCTGACTGTAGTATGCAATTGCAGACTATTTTGATAATCATTTAAGTATTTTTTTTATGCAAAAACATTTAATGATTCATCAGCAGATTAAACCATATGAAAATAATCATTAGTTGCAGTCCTTTATAAAATAGATGCTACACATTGTTACATCGGTTAGATTACCCACAATTCAATCGCTTAGATCATTTTATGGAAACAACGAGCACCAAAGTATTCACATTTACTGGCAGGAATGAAAGGCCTGTCCCATCCAGACATGTTTCCCAAATACAAGCAGGATGAGTTCAATGATTTAAGCAAATAAAAGCCCGACTATTAATTAAAGTTATGCAGTAGTTATTAAACAACTGGAAAATGAGCTGTACCTCAAGCCACTACAACAGTAAAATCCTGCTTTTATGTTAATGCACAAGTAATAATCTAAATATCTTAATATATAATAGTACAACAGTTGCACGCTGCATTGTTCTGCATTGAGTACTTTTACTTTTAATATTTCAAGTTTTTTTTTTTAGAAAGCCAAATGACATACCCTTGTCCCTGGTAATGCTGATCATGATGATACTGATGTGTTATCTTGCCTGGTCTGAGTCCGACCTGCAGACCGCCTCCCTCCCGTGAATCCCAATCGAGTGCCACTGGCACATGGCAGACATCTTGCAGATTTGTTTAATCAGTGGCAGCTGATAATAACCATTCATTCAATAGGTTTTAATTCAAAGACAGAGTGGTGGAAATATTTGTTTAAAACTGGACTGAACATTTTGCGATGTTTGCCATAAATTTTGGCAGGTGCTAATTTGACTAATTCTAATTTGTGCCTTGGCTTTTTTAATGATGCAGATATTCTGATTGAATTTATTGTTCCACAAGGCACACCACCTGAAGTATTTCCCTAAAGTGAAAAAAAATAGCAATTCAGGCAGGATGTGTTTATTATACATTATTTAAAATGTACCTTTTCTAAAATTAGTCTCATATATATTAAAGGAGACAAGACATGTTTGTCTGTTAATGGTGTGTTACAAGTAGTAGTAAGTACTATTAATAAGACTTACAGCTCTTATTTATATTGCAATATTTATTGATCGACACATGACCCCAAACTCGTTCAAAGATTTCAGGGCTACAATATATAGTATACAATATAAAGTGTTGTTTAAATGAGACACTGATGGGTGATGACGGCGAGAGTGAGCCCTCTGGTGGATAAACCAATTCTGTTAGTCTTACCGTCTTTGCCACATGAGAAGTGCTGCATTTTGTTTTTCCATTTTTAACTCCTCCTTTTACTTCCTATATATTTGGGAGTTTTCCCCTTAGCCACTGTGCCACCTCGCCTCCCTCATTTGCATCTCGTGTTCACATATTAGCTTGGATGGAGGAATCACATTTACCAAACATCCTTGCTCACACTGAGTTAATTTAAAACAATTATTTTTCCATAATGCACAGGTAGTTTAATGATGAACTTACTCTATAATTTACATTTTACACACATCTAATACTTTTTCCTTAATGAATAAAAGAAAACTAAAACTAAAGGTTATTTTTTATTATCATGTAATATTCCGGTTAATTAACAAATTTATCTATGAAATGTAAGAAAATAGGAATATCTCAATTTCCTTGAGCCCAAGGTGATTAAATATATTTATATAAAAAGGTCTCCAGTTTTACAGGCTCTTTATGCTTATGTGATTCTCTCCTGTTGACTTGCACATTTGTTTTGCCATTCATTATTTTTTTTTTTTAAGAAAACATAACCAAACAACTGACCCAACTGTTCACTTCCTTCCCTTTTCCCCTTCCTCTCACTTCCCATAAGTCACCGCCTAACAAGACAAAAGCGGACATGAGGGAAGAGAAGAAACAAGTAGGAAGAAGGACATTTAAGAAGATGACATTTAAGTGCTGACAAGGAGGCTAGAAACTATTTATGTTTAGCAATGACTGATGACTGGGGTCGGTCACTGAAATTTCCCTCCACGGTCCAATAAAGTTTCATCTGATCTTTAACATAGATTTTATTAAACCATAAGCCAAACAGTTGACATCATTAAGCACATATTCATGAAAAAAAAGCATTCAATAGTAGACAAAGGGTGGCTATTTGTTTGACATTTATTTCACGATATAAGTATGATAACTACTTGGCTAAATATAAGTGGATTACATTTTTTTGTCATTATTTATTTATTTTTTTTTACAAATAACCTTAAAAACATTAACATCGCTTTGAAAAAAAACATTTGGCTCCAAGTTTTCCATTGTAGCTACAGTCATAACTTGTCTGTATCAAAGTCCAATATCAAAAGAGATTTATAGGCCATCCTGTCTGCTTCATGCTGAGATCCTCTACTGGAGGAACAGTGAGATTTCCATCACAGTTCTTTTAATATAACAACAATGAGCAACAGGGGACAACAGGAAAGGAGGCCATATTAATCTGCCCAAGGACTCTTAGGGTTTTTTTTTCTTTTAAGATTTCACTTGAGATGGCCATTTGTCATTTTTTGAATATTGTACTGAAAGGTATTTCCAAAAACATACACAATAGAATCTTGAGAAAAGGTAAAATACTGAGTGATTTCCCACAATGCAGCAGGAAAACATTAAAGCTGCCATTAATGCTGTTCTTGCTCATGTTAATCCAAACCATTATTGTAGTTCATGTAGTGTGGATATTACAAACATCTGGTGAAAATCAGATAGAAAAGAAGCCTTAATAGAATGAAGAGCACAAACAGGGAACCGACACAGCAAAGAAAATATGATCTGAATGCATGAGACCAGTTATAAGCTCCACATTCTTGATTCCAAATACTCTGCTTGGTACATTTTTATTCTCTCCATCAATGATATAAACCTTACCATCTCTTTAGACATAGGTCATGACTGAAGTGAAGTGTTTTCCCTTATTTCCATTGTTTAAGATGTTTATGTAATGGAAAATGGACAATGAACATGGCTTCCCAGAAATTAGTACAGCTCTAAAGGATTGCCTTAAAAAACAAGAACTACTGAGGAAAATGTTATTAAAAGATGCTTTATACAGAGAAGGCACAGATACTTTATATGGAGATACTTTTCAGCCACTTAGGAAGGCACAAGAAAATATATATGGTCATGTGACTCAGTGTGGGTATATCATAAATTTAAGTTTGGGTTAAGGCAGTATATATTTTAGGGTGTTCCCATGTAGGATCACAAAATATGTGAGAATGCAACAGAAATCACACATATCACTTTTTGTTACTCGCACTGTGAAATGTCGTTTTCCATGTGTTGTCTTGGTTAATTTACCACTGTGTTTTTTATAACTTTGTTGTCCATTTGAGGGCGAGTTTGCTGGCTGACTTTCAAGTTGATGAGGGGCGCCTGAACACACCATTGGGTTTGGTAACTGTTAGAATTGTATGGTAGAGCACTTCTGAGAAAGAATAATTTGTCCCTATAACTATGTCAGAGTTCTGTTTGACCTAGAAGATTTAGGCTTCTATTGTAACTCTATCATCGTGCCATACTCCACTCATCGGGCTTTCTTTCTTGCAATCACTGAGCATTTTGTTCGAGATGAGTGCATGAATACGGTTCTAAAATATGGTAACTGGTTTCTTCAATTGAGTTGTTGAGAACACACACACACATCTTTGTTCCACTATCCCTGTGGGGACATATCACTGACTTCATCCCCCTAGCCCTTATCATAACCTTAACAATCATAACTACATGCCCAACCTTAACCCTTATCCTAACCTTACTGTAACCTGAACCCTAACACCACGTCTTACCCCTCAAAAAGCAGTCTCTGACACAAGTCCCCATGGGTTTGCGTGCATTCTGGTTATAGTCCCAACTCTCGCTGGTGTGGCCCTGAAGAAGATTTTGGAGAAGAGTTGTCTGGTTTTTGATGGGCTAATTTCTTAAAGCTCAGTGGCAGAAGGCATTTTAATTGTAGTCCCATTGCTTTATGAGAAAGATGCACCTCAAAATATCCCACTTAATTAGCAGCTGTGCATTCAACTCAAATAGGGTTATTTTCAGTTTTAGTAAATACTTCACTGAAATGGAAATAATGCAACAAATCCAAATGTTTGCATCACTAAGTGAGGTAAATCTGACTCTCATATAGGTAGTTTGGTGACAACCAAACCATGTCTCCTTATTTCTGACATGTTAAGTGTTGGTCTAAGTAAGATATTGCTGTATTCTCTTACTGGAAAGTATTCTCTACAAAGGCACATTTATATTGCACACAGATAAACAGGTGTATAACCTTTGACGCATTCTGTACATATGAGATTTTTATGATCTTATGGTGAAAAAAATACTACTAGTACAGTGAATTTAAGATTGCATTTAAACATTTATGTCAACCACTTATGAGTTTCATTTAAAATATACAGATTATTTCATCTGTAATAATATTAATTTGAAGGCACAGCTTTTCAGGTATTGATCACTTTCAGTGATTATTTACAATGCTATATACATAAATGAGGACTTCTTTTAAAAAAGTCTCCACTTTGTCAGCATCAAGGTTTAGACTGATTATATTAAAAAACATTCTGTGTTTTTGAAGTACTTTTAGGATTCCCTTATAAAAACATATTTCTTTGGCTAATCATTTACTTGACCAATCCTCCTAGCTGGCTCAAGGTCCATCCTGGTAAACGCACTTGCGGCTTTATACTTCATTATTATTATAGTGTATCTTCACTACAAAATGGACAAGAAACAGCTATTAAACATTACAGAATTGACAAAGTAGCCAGTGCTGCTGGAAAGTTTGTGAACCCATTAAAATTCTAGAATCTGTATTTCTGCATAAATGTGATCGCAAATGTTATCAGATCTTCATTTAAGCGCTGAAAACACACAAAGAGAGCCCAGTCAAACAAATAACACAAAAAGATCCACTTTTTTTATTAAGCAATTATCTAACATTAATTATCTTTGTTGGAAAAAATATCTGAACCTTTATTTTCAGTCCTTTTAGTGATGCCCCTTGAGCAGCAGTAACTTAAGCCAAACCAAATCCTGGAGGTTCACATACTTTTTCCAATACACTTAATGTTGGGTCATTTTGCTAAATAAAGAAAGAAATTAAAAAGTATAATCCGTTTGTATTACTTTTTAATGGGGTCCTCTTTATTTAGTTTTAGGACTTAACATTTTAGATCACATTTATGCAGAAACACAGAAAACTTTAAAGAGTTCACCAACTTTCTAGCAGCAGTATATGATACAGTGAGTGATATAAAACAAATGACAATAAAAGGTAAGCATTAGAGGCTGTGGATAAGCACTGATACAGGCAGACTATACTGACTTTGTCCTTCTCTTGGACTTGTTGCAACAGAAATAAAAACATGGCTTGGCTCTACTCAGACAGATATATGGCTACATCTTGAGCAGGAGTGGCAAAAAATCCATTACGTGCTGTGCAGACTCTTTCCTCCTGCAGAACAGAGTAGAGAGGATACATGAATAAAGAGTCGTTTGTTTGTTGAAAACAAAGCCAAAAGTAAAATAAAAACACTAAATGTAAATCTGAAAAACAGAAAATAGCCATAAAATTAAATGCTAGAAAAATGCTAATTGGTAAAGGTATGTGTATATTGAAATTAATCTGTGATCAGAACTTTATGCAGCACATAATAAAATGACATATACCTCCACTGTTTTATAGAGATGTGGGTGAACTTCTATCTTTTAGCAGAAGATTTCTTAATAATTCTGGTTTACAATTCCACTTTCAATTATCATTTCAAAATGATTTTTTTTTCCTGTTACATTTAATTAGTGCTAAAACAATATATTAACTATTTTAATAATTGAAAATATTCAAGTCAGGTCATTCTCATTCAAATAGTCAATATTGATTAATACTGATTAAAGCTTCTCAAATATGGAGAACGTGCCACTTTTTGTTTTATATCACAAAAAATAGTATCTTTGGGTCTGACGAAACAAAAATTTTGATTATGTTACTTTTGGCTCTTGGAAACTGTAAATGGCATTTGTTCATGTGTTCTGATATCATATAGGCTTAATAATGAATCGATTCATCTAAAAATTAATAGAATTAATATTTAACAAAAATAATTTATCATTCATTTTCTCTTATAATTTTCCTGTTGGGTGAAATTATCCAGCCCACAGTGGGACATGTTTACCTGTTTCTGTCTGTGGCGTTCCAGGTAGTGCTGCATGACTGCGTGCTGTGAAGACGACACGTTGGACGGAGCAGTCAGAGGGCCGATATTGTTGCTCTGCTGGGTGACAGCTGATGTGCATGTCTGGAAGTAGCAGGAACCCTGATCCAGAGACGTGTCAGACCTCAGGCCTGAAGACCCAGAGAGAGCCAGGATGTCGCCGCCTGCTGGACTGGAAGAAAAGTGCTGGTTGAACATGCAGCTGCTGTGGGTAGCTGCCTGGCCACATGCCAACTCTCCCTGCTGAGTGTGGTTCAGTCCAGTGACACTACTTGGCCAAAGGCCAGCAAGTGGCAATGTTTGGCTTTCTGAAGTTTGGCTGTGGCATACTGGCATCACCTCATGTCCATTCTGCATGATGCCAGTATTAGGCAGCTTCTGCTGCTGGTTCTGCTGAACCTGGTGGTTGTGCGTTTTCAAAGGGGGGCTTCCTTGCAGAGAAGCTGTGGCAAAGGGAATGGGAATATTAGGTGTGCTTGGAGAATTAAAGCCATTGCAAGGAATCAGGGGTGGCAAAATGTCCATTACACCGTCTGCTACATTGTTTGGTTGTTGAAAAGAGCTCTGCAGCATCTGTCCATTTGCTGCCTTTGTAGGAGCTTGAAAATTATTTTGAGGATACAGCAAACGTTGGCTGGACAGAATCTGTCCAGAAATCCCCTGAGGGCAGCCCGTGTGGCTGATAGATGCCTGTCCACAGGATTGAAAAGAGGCTGAGGCATTATCAGCTGAGGCAGTGAGCTCTGGGAGGTCTATAGACAGGCTGAAAATGTCCTGGAGCTGCAGCTGTTGAAGTGGGGGCATGTTGGTGTCAGCCTGAGTAATCAGGGAACCATGGTGGAGTGTCTGGGTGCTGCTGAATATCTGAGCAGACTCTGCAAAGCTTTGCCCTGTAATCACTGGTCCATTCCCTGTATCCTGCTGGTGAGCGTAGAGACCATTCATTGGAGAGTGTGTGCAATCAGGACTTGGTGTCTGAAACAACTGTGGCTCACAGAGTCCACTGGTTGGGAGCTGAGCAGCCTGAGTGAAGGGGTCCTGCTGATTACTGTTGACTGCTGTGAGGCAGCTGGGAGGGCTGGCGTTTAGACATTCTTCTTCCTTTTCTTTAAACAAAACATTTTCAATGTAGTCAAATATCTCATTAGTGAGGATGCTGTCTAGCTCAGACCTGACATTGTTCTCCGGATTCTCACCCTGACCTAATCTCTTGAGGGCATTTTCCCACTCCACCAGCTCTGTATCACCGACGTCCAGATTCTGCAACGCTGTACAAAAATCACCATTTTGAGCAATTCCTTCAAGGTTTTCAATCACAGCCATCACTGACTGTGTGGCCTCCTCTTTCACGACACCTGTTGTGGGTACAGTCCCACTTTCCTGCCACGTGTTACTGGCAAGGCTGACCAGGGCCCGGCTGTCCATGAACACCTGATCCACAGGTAAAGGGGGGTCCACTGTCTGCATGTAGGCCTTTTTATCCTGTCTCAGGAAACAGTCCAGCAAAGAGCTGGGGGCCACATCCGTGTTTGTGTCATTGTTACTAAACATTTTATTGAACTGAAACTGTGTGATGTCCACTGTGGGGCTGGTGTTGTAGAGGACGGCCTCTCCTGTGGTTAAGCTGAAGGGAAGCTGCAGCCTCCTTTGACGCAGATACTCCTCACCCTCAGCGTTGCTGAAACAGACCAAATAGCACAGGTTTTACTAGTTAGTAAGACATGTTGTAGAAGAGGTTTTTTTCAACCTGCCCTCGCTTGACAGTGTGCCATTGCTGTCTAATTCCATAATTTTAGCAAACGATAGAGCCACAGACAGGACTAAACACTCACACTAAAGCTCTCTGAAAAGCAATGATGAATTCAGGTCTTCCATCTTTGTAGATCAGCTTGGCGTTGGCCTTCACCCACACCCAGCCAGCGGACTTACTCAGGAGCCTGAAAACAGTCAGACCGCTTTCCCCTGTTTTTATCACTGTGATAAAAAGACAAAAACAGCACACAAAGAGAGGCTATCAGTATAGTGGCAATAAATGTCTGTTATAATTATTCTTAAAGGTAACCCTGACATTTTTTAGCCTGTCATGATTTTATTATACCATAATCCATGGTGAATAAAATCATAACACGCTGTAACTCTAACAGTCAGTAAGAGATCTAAATAAAAATCATATATACATTCTGTATAATGTTAGTCAACAGGACAAAGAACTCAACATTAACTATGATTCTTACTTTATTTTCTTAAAAACAAATATTTTCCTTTGGACTACTACTTGCATCTCCATTTAATACAAAATAAAATTATCAAATTCTAATGTAAAAGTCAAGTTCAAATTGCCAACATACTGCGGATGTGATTGTCAGCACAGTGCATCATATCAGCTGCGTGGATGAATTGGTAGCCGGAGCCTTTCATACACAGCTCAGTCTCTGAATAGCCCAGAACAATCTTCCCCCTGGTGAGAGACAAAAAAACAACAGCAAAACATTAACTTTGTTTTGCCGGAATGAAATTCTGTTAACAAGCAACCATTTAAGAAATTAGCCATGGTTAATTGTATTGTAATAAGACCTAGGAAAACTGCCCAACACTAGATGGTGTTTTGAGATGGGGCATCATTTGAGATCAAAACTACCTGCCCTTAAAAAGAATCCACTAGCCAAAACAATACATTGAAAAAGAAGAATGGAACAATTAGTAGCACCTGCTATCGATGCCCATGGGTGTGAAATCCAGCTTGTGCTTGGTTTGAAAGAGGAGCATTTTCGCTCTGATCTCCACAATGGATGGAGGCTGGACGGGCATAGCAATGGTGAACAGCGCCAGCTGAGGTTTGTTACAGGTGCCGTTTTCCCTCTGGCCATGGAGGTACTTCAGTCGCCCCTGGAACTTCAGAGCCTGGTTTGGGTTAAAAAAATTAGATGAGTAACTTGGGGATATTTTTAAGGGCTTAGGATGGAAACAGTTTCTTCAAATGGCTCCCAAGAACGGCATTTGCTGCTGTTTGAGATGAGTCTTTCAATTTAAGTAAAGGTAATTAGGCCACATTACACCCAAATATGGCAATGTTTTGACAAAACATAACATATGAAAATATAGTTTTGACCAGAAAGCCAGAGGAATTGTCCAGGAGGCAGCGGAAGCGACACACAAAGCTCCTCTCCAGGAAGGAAGAGTTCTCGGGGGGAAGCTGCTCAGGACTGTACATCACTGTATTACCAAAACTCTGCAAGACTGAGAACACAGGTTCAGATAAAAGATTAGGAGCCAGAATGATTTACCTAAACAGTGAACCATTGATTTATGTCAAACTCATGGTTAAAGCCTGAATAAAGAAATGCCTAATTTTTTAATTACCATCTCCATCCGTGTCAACAGTTGGGGGATTTAGAGCAAAGTGAAGCTGCTCCCTGAACGAAGCCCGGTCATCAGTATGGATGAGCTCAAACACACTCTGATGAACCACATCGGACTGTCGGCAGAGGAGAGAACACAAATTTCATCAACAGTTCAAGTCATTTACACATGAGGAGTATACCAATCAGGCTCCACCTCCTGTGACATTGTGGTGAAATAGAAGCAATGTATTTAGAATTCTTTTGGGGGGCAAAACCACGAGTGTTTAGAACATATTGACAACAAAATGACAACTCATGAGTGGTTTATACTGCAGAATTAAAATGATATGAATCATAAGCTAGGACACCAACTATGGTTTAGATTTTAAGACACAGGTGTTCGATGGCAATCTCCACCACCACTTTAATTCTTCACCCCATCTGTTGATGGCAGCAGACATGTATTCGAGGAGGAAAGTACCAGCTTTGAACAGCTACCTTTCAAGTCTCCAAATGATGATATCTGACACTAAAATAATATTGTATCTGATTGCATCTCACCTGATGAAAGCCCAAGTAGTCCTTGATTGTGGCAGAGGCATAAAACACAGATCCCTCGGACGTGATCACCATCACAAACCCGTTCAACGCCTGCACAGAAAACAGAACATTCAGCACTCACAGAGGTTTCATGCATACATGTTAGGTATGTTACTGACACACTGACCAAGAAGACATGGACATATGCATATCAGGTACACATATCAACTGTAACAGGCACCAAATCACTCATAGCACAAAACAGCTACACATGCTAAGGATGTAAACACATTGTACAATAACATTATGTAACAAGAAGCAGTGTTATGTTTTTTGCTTTTTACCTTAAGACAGTAAGGCCTTTGTTTTCTTTAAATTAGAACAATCGTTAAAAATATGAAAGTCTAATCTAATACATACCTAGGACCGTTTTTACACGTGTGACACCGCTACCAGAGGGCAGTTCAGAGTTTACAGTAAACAGGCTCCTCTGCTGACTAGGACAGGTAAGAACCAGCAAATAAAAAACTGAAACTACAGGTTAACAAAGCACAGATTAAATCCCGAACTGTCAATTAAAAGTGGTTTGAATCTGGATTGTGTAATGTCATTTTGTATTTTTTAACTACATTCCACTTTTTAGTCTGAGTGATGCTTTGCAGAGGACACTGAAATGTAAATCCTGCTGCCAGTTTATTGTCCAAAACCACATCAACAGCTGCTTTTCAAAGGCCCTTCATATTACATAATCACCGTCTGATGTGATCATTATGCAGAACAAAGTGTGAAAATGAACCTGACAGGTAAGTGTCAATAAACAAGGTGCAGGCAACTTGACGAGCACAGGCTTTGTTAAGAACATTCTCTGAAACTGTGTAAGGTGTATTTACACTATTTATAGTTTCTGGCTTTAATCTATTACTCTGCTGGTTGCTGTCATTTTGTCTAGTGCTGCTTTTAGACTGACAGTTACACAGCTTTATCCTGTGGTGGTAGTTGATCAGAGAGGGTAAATAACATTTCATCTGACTTGGCTTCATGACTTAGCTTTGAAGAATAGGTGTATCTTTTGGGGATGGGAAATTTCTCTTTTGCTCTTTACATCTAACTTACATTTACGCTATGTAACTACTCCATGACAAGTCTTAAAATATCAAGAAAAAAGTAGTAGAAGAAGTAGGCAAACAGTGCAAGTGTAAGCATGTTGTAAAATAAACTAAAATCATTTGAAACTAATTTTGGTGCTCCATTCTATTTAATCTGATTTAGTACATTTGTATCTTATGTTCTGTGTAATATTATGGTTTGAAAGCGTGTATGGAACTAGAGTTGAAGACTGGAGACTCTGGAAACAGTGGCTGCGTTCGAAAAGTCTTTTTTTTTTATTTAGGAAGGTTCCTAACTGAGTGAAGTGAACTGGAAGTGGCAGCCATGATAAGAGCTGTTCGAATTAGATAAAATCCATCAACCACATTTAACAAGATCCTTGCAATTCAGACGCACATAATGATTCTTGAATAAGACTCTCACAGTTTCCTTCTTTCTTTTGGCTTGTTTTCTTTTGGATTTGCTGTAATCTGATGCTGTTTCAACACCGTTTTATGTTTTGGGTTGTTGAAATATGCTATAAAGTGTTTTCTACAATAATAAAAAAAATTAAACCATCCATGACGGATAAAGGAGGTTGATCACCATGTAAGTTACCATTGGCTATTAAGCCTTTTCTCTCTTATAACTGTCAACAATAACCCATGCGAGCTGTCTTGTAACGTGATCAAAGTGAGGATAATGTTGCAGTGTGTAGCCTCACGTTATGTACTGCAGCCTTCTGCAAATTAATACTGTCACAGATGCTGACACCCTCGCCTTAATAAAGGCAAAGATCAAGCTGGATAACCTACAGGAGGCGTTTCCCTGATCACTGATTTATTTGTGGCGGCCTGCCACATTATCAACGCTGATTTTCGATTGATTTTGTTACTATTAAAAATGGGTAAAATCGTATTTGATGATGATCACAGCATATATATTCTCTCAGCATCTCCTCTCTCTCTCTCTCGGCACAGTTACGCTGTCATTCTGTGGGAAACACTGTATTTACATACAAATGGGATTCATGTTGATAAATACGCCTATGGGTGGGCAGGAGGGTGAATGTGAGCAAGCATTGTCAATGTGACAACCCTGTCCTTTATTTAGTGACTGGTAGGCTACCTTATCTGCCTTTTTGCTATCTTGGTTATGAAGTAATATCTTCCACCGTGTTGTGCACCTTTAGATGGCCTGCATTACAACAACATGGGGCGCAGTGTCAAAGATGCGCTTTTTGTTGTCCATCTTCAGAACATTGCAGTTTCATCACGGCAGGTCACGTCAGTAAAATCCGAGTTTATCTTCAACTTCAATTGTCATATTTGTCAATTGTCAAGTCCCAAACATGGCATGACAGTGTACAGAGGTATTTAGAAAAATAAGTAACGTATGATAAGAGTCACAGCTATTACAAATATTACCCATAACATACATTTACATGCAGTGTCTGAATGGGAGTTATCCCTCAGATTTTGACTTGGCCCCGTCTCTTACCTGGAGCAGTAGGTCCCCCTCAGAGAAGCCCGTGCTGTCCACGCTGTTCCCATTTTGCCCGTTCACTACAGGAAACATCAGACTGCTGTTACTGTTCTTCATGGTCGCTGCACAGAAGATGACAAAACAAGAGGACTCAGCAGAGATAATATTAACATATTTTAGAGCTGGTGTAGGACATTTATTTCAGAAGCATTGTTTTACTTTTTTGTTATATTAGTTGAAATTCCTTTAATATCCTGGCAGAAATCAATAAATCAAATGTTCTGACACAAATGTGTTTTGGGGGAGTGGCTTTGGAGGGAAGCCTGAAGGGAGGGAGTGGGATAATTTAAAAATCTCTTGCTAGTTTGCATGTTGCCTATTCCAGCTTAAAGGTTTTAAGCATTTTAAGCACAGTTATGGATTGCACCCTCAGCTGACTCCACTTTGTGTGACAATGATTTAAACGGGTAAAAGGCTTTGGTGGTAGGCATTAGACCTTCTGTAGGTGTTAAAAGGAAATATTCAAATATTTATTTTGGAAACCCTTTTCATTAGTTAAACTGTAGTTATATTATTTTCACTAATAACTAGAGTTACAGTACTTGCTGAGATCTGGGAACAAACCAACATCACTGTAACTTAGTTTTAATCTGTCTTTTCTTAGACCTGCTTCTTATCCATCATCATTGACTCTAACAAAGTACTGTAGAGACCATCATCACATTCAGACGGTACTAAATAAGATAAAAATCACACGTCTTTACTGCAGAAATAAATGATACGTCACATGACAGTATGCTCAAATCTTGCATCTTGCCTGAAGACATCCTCTATGCAGCCTTGTCTCTTTTACACGTTCCAGATGTATGTAAGTAGCTTGCTTGATTAGCCTATCCATTTAGAAGTAAAAAGTTAAACTATACACTCAGTGAACTATATAACAGGGTCACTTAAAAGGCCTGTGCGCCAATCACTATGTGCAATCACCATCATCTGTTCCATTTCTGAGGTCATGTGATTTAAAGAACCTAAGGTAATAGGACACCACTAGCATTCATTTGAGCTGTTGGGTGTCAAAAACATGCCAGACAGAAGTCAGTTTAGACAACCATTTCCTGGTAAGAGACTACGAAAAACCTGGCATCGTCCCTTGTGTTTTTATATCAGGGAGATGTATGAGGTGATGGCTTGTTATATGAAGGGAAAATCCATATTAAATGGCATACTGTGTGCTGGCATATAGTTGCCTTTGCCTGTGTGTGATTGTTTTTACTGTGTGACTCTTTTAGGGATCTATAAATAATCTGAATATTAGATCACGAGTGTGCAGCAGCAATAAAAAAAAAAACAACAGCAAAACTGGCTCGCTGGCCTGAGTCGAGCTTCAATTGTTAATCCCCTGCCAGAAGACAGGTTTTCTCATTGCTGGAGAACTGATCTGGCTGCCTGCCTTTCTGCACACACATAACATGCACAGAAATAACACGCACAAACACACTCAGTTCTCTTGCATCTGCCCCTTGGGGTTTTTTGCAAGCAATAGCCGGCAAGAGTGCTTCCCCTTATCTGGACAGCCACTACAGGAAAATCCCAGGATATGGCCTCTCCCAACCCGTCCGTCCAGTCCTGTCACGCAACTTCTTTAAGGAGGGAAGGGGCCCCTGAACACTCTCCCCCTCTAACACAGACACACAGACACCACTCAGCTATAACTCACACGGCGTTTAAACACCAGACCTGCACAGCTCTACAATCACACATTTACACCACACAGAGCTGCAGGCCTGCATACAACCACAATTAGCATAATATGTGATGTGCAGGCAGTACAGGATAGAAATACAAACTGTCAGATAGACTTAAAGTTAAGCTATTAAAAATAAGCAGTAAGAATTAACACACATGTAGTTAATACTTACTGCTTTAGTCAAACATATGTAAACAAATGTAGACCATGCCACTTCAAGTGCAAATCGGGATAACCCACCACATCCCTCTTGTTTTTTTGTTTTTTTCTCTATTCAGTGAGTTTGCGTGAGTAAGTGGGCCTCTGTGGCCGTCTGTGTTCATTCTAGTTTTCTTCCCCAGTGGTGAGCTCTGCATTGTGTTTTCCCCTTTTCCCATCTTTTTCTGCTGCTAACAGTTTATGGCGCTGCACAGTTGTTCATGTGCATGTGGCTGCAGGATATGTAGGAAATATGTTCAATGATCCTGGTCAGAGTTTGACCAGAGGTTGTTAAGAGACTGCTGTAAGTTTGTGGGAGGCAGTGAAGGAAGTAACATCAAAACACACACACTGCCTTCACAGCAGCAGGAAAGGCCAAATATTGTACAATAGTTTCTTCAATATATATTGATGGTATCTGTGTTGAAGCCCGTGGCTAGGCAAAAGAAACACTCCTTTAAATATGAGTGAAAATGTTTCACAGGTTTATTCTCTGAGGGCAAATACACTCAGAGGACTCTGTTACTATAATTAGGCCAGTTACCAATCACATATGTGACTGTACTCAAACATGTCAGGTGATTCCCAGCTTCATCTGTACCATTTTGGAGGTCATGTGATTTAAAGAACCTGAAATAATAGACACCACTAGTATTCATTTGAGCCACTGGGTGTCAACAACATGTCAAACTTGGCAACGTCCCATTTTTTTCTGTACTAGGGAGATGTGTGTCATTATTGCAAACCGATAACCAAACTTCCACTCTAGGCAGAAGTCATCATTTGATGGTATCTTTGTTGCTGCTGTGACCAGAAAGAAGCACCAGGTTTATTCATATTTTTATGCTGTTGATTGCTACGGCATAACACCTGATTAACAGTTCAGTGCAGGATTTTCACAGCACCACTGCAACACTAGATAGATGAGTGTAGTGCTAATTGAGTGATTAGTAAATCGACAGAAAATTTACAACATTTTTTTGTTATTTATCACACAAAAACTGTCCCATTACAGCTTCTGCTGTTTTTCTGTTTTATATCATTGTAAACTTTGCACTTTTGGACTGTTGCTCAAGAAATACATTCAACATAAACATTTTATAGACTAAATGATTTGACTGATTAATTTAAATGAACAGATTAACTAATAATTAAAATAATAATAGGTTGCATCCCTACTAGATGGATACATTTCTTTTACAGGGCTAACTGCCTTCCATTCAGTAGTACATTCGGTCTGTTGCTGGTTTAACCTGTTATGTTCAGTTCAGTACAAACTAGGCCTATTCACTGTTTATAAGTTTAACAGCTCAGAAACCACTTACCGTCAGGCTTTTATTTGCTTCAGTCACTGAACTCAACCTGCCTGTATTGGGGCAGGCGCCAATATTGGGAGAGGCTTTTAATTCCTTTCACATAAAAATCTTGCTCAGCAGAGATGGGGAAACACTGTCAAATTGTTTTTTATGAAAAATACTGAAATATTTGAATAACATTTCAATTACGAATCATTAATTTCATCTAGTTCCGAGAGAAAGGGTATCTAGACCAACCTTATGCAGAACCTACCTAAGAAAGAATGAAAGCTGAAGGTTACCATAGTTGTTTTAACTTGGACCGCTTTGTTGGGGTGGGATTTAATCCTGCAAAACCCATGAACCACAAGATAGTTGTTAGCTTTCCCTTTGACGTTTGAATTTCAGTCCCTTTACCATATTAATGACAACAGTAATGACACACTTTCATACTAAATATTTCACAGCCGCCCTAAAAGCTTCTTCCAATACCTTCAAACTCTTTATTTTTCAACCAAGGTGTAATTAGACACCAAGAGAGGCCACTTTCAACATCAAACTTCCTGTTCCTGTTTTAGAAATCAGGCCATTATAGACTTTTAATGCAAGATTCACTTCAGGTAAACATCCCCGAAACTCCCCGAATGAGGTAACCTTTAAGAGATTTTACATCTTTTCATCATGGGGTAATTAAGGGAAATACTATACGCAATAAAGTCTGAGTATTCAGGGAAACAAGTTAAAGCAAAGGAAAACAAATTCCAGTATAAAGTGGTGGCAGTGAAGCTTGAAGCATTGAACAGTGAAGTGTTCGACATGTTGGATGGTGATAGAAAAAAAGAAAACTGAAACTAAACCAGAAGCAATTCTTGAAATGCTTTAAGTTGAACTGCAATTACCTGTCTACACAGTTTCTCTGTTAAAGTATTAGTATGTGGTATGGAGTCTGCACACAGTGAAGGAGACGAAAGGAAATGCTGTCACGGGTTGGAAGTCTGCCAGAGTCAGGGAGAGTATAAAGCATGCCAGCAATGCATAGGGGAATATTATCTTGATTTGAAAACATTTAGTTCCAGTAGATCCTGTACAGAGATCTCTGTTCTCACGCAGATGTGCAGGAAAGGGCAGTAACAAATAACAGCCAATGATCTGGGTCACTCAGTCCATAGGTTCTTTTGATTAATGTCCCCGTTTACTTCCATGACTTTAGGGGAAGGACACAGCCTCAACTTTTTCATGATTAGACAGTGTCATCTAGGCAAGTCAATGAAAAGAAGGAAAGAGCAGCATTGGATGGAAAACAAAGGTTTACACAGGCAGCCCAATGCTTATTATGGATATGGGGGCACTGTTTTGCAATTAAAACAAGGAATTAACATAGCAAATTGTTGGATTTCAGTGTGTTATTACAAAATCATTGAATGTATGTTAAAATTGCAAGTATGTACATTTGCTAATAATTATAATTATAATGCATAAGGTTTCAGTTGTACCGGGAATGTTTTACTCTGGCCCCAAAAAGCCAGTCCTGTAGGTTTAAAAAGCTTTGTGTGCTGCAGCACGAGCAAACCTTGATGATCAAAATAAACAGTGATTATATATTATTCAAGACACAATGGGCCTCATGCCAGATTTTATTCTTATCTTTCTTATGGTTCTTCATATGGTGGGCTTGTACGAGTGAGCCACACCAGATTCAGATAACTGTGTAAATGACCCGCGTAAACAGGATAAATACCTCCTGTGTGTAAAGGAGTGAACGTTCATGAGAATTGTAAATTCTCATGTAATACCATATAAGGCTAGGCATCCTACCCCATATGTCAGGAAGTATTCATTCATGAAAATTACATTGAAGAGTAAAAATAAAAACTTTACGAGT